CCCCACCCGCGCGCGAAGAGCATGCGCAATGGGACTGACGGACGGACGGGCCGACGCGGGGGCGACGGGGCCCCCTCCGCGGATCCGGAAGGGCTGGAGGGGCCGCAGATCAGAGGACTAAAGTGAGGCAGGGCTGGGGCTTTGTACGCCCAGAAAAGACGCACGTCTTAGACGTGACTCCGGGTGGTAGGTGAGAGCTGGCTAGGCCTGCAGCTCCTCGGTCCCTTGCAAGGTGCCCACTTACATGTGGGCCGCCCATCTGTTTGCAGTGTCTGCATTCTGTTGAGTTACCTTGGAGGGGGCAGAGTAGAATTTGTTACTCTGGCTGTGTTAGGGTTCTAACCTCTCTTTGGTTATCTCTGTGCCTACGTCCCTATCCAGAGATAAGAGATCCCTTCAAATAGAACTCATCTAGGTACACACAGCTTCACTTTATTAAGGATATTTCCAGGCCCTCCAAGATATCTGACGTTAACCATGGTGCTGAAAGAAACTAATTATCTTAAAGAAATTAATTATCTTAATGCAGTGCCAAACGCCCGTAAGCACTATACACACATACATTATTTTATATAATACTATGGCAACACTGTGAAGAAACTGTAATACTTAGACCCATTTTACAGAAGCAGGAACCGCCAAGGCACAGAGAGGTAAATAACTGGTCTGCAGATGGTAAGCAAGTAAATGGCAAAGATGGAATTCTGTCTGCCACCAAGACCCACAGCTGGCCTCGCAGGTGAGTGCCAATAAATACTAGATGAATTAGTACATGAAGCATGTTTTTGATCATAAAGAAAATATTATAATTTTGAAATTACTCATTTTTTTCAACTCATAGTTCTTTAAAGTCAGGACAACAAACAACAATTTTTTGTATTTGTTTTGTGAGTGTGTGTGAGAGAGAGGGATCTGATATTGAGGACCACTGATGTAACTACATGGTGGTGTTGCTAAATATTTTAGCATCCCAGATTAAAAATATATAGTTACATCATATCTACATCTTGATCCGTTACATGGGTTGTAGGCTTTCATCAGATAACTAGTGATGTTGGTGGCTTGCCAAAACTGTTTTTCCCTGAAATCACTAACACATGCACAGGTAAATCCTAAAAGGAAGTTGTCTTTGAGTCATTCCTAACAAATGATAAAGATATGAGAGTGATAGCTAAAGAAGAGGTCTATCTTAGAACATAACTAGAGCAATTGTCCCAAACACATGGGTGACCTGGTTAAAGATTAACAAGAAGAAAGATAAGCATCCAAAAGTGATATCCTAGGTGTAATTGCCCATTAATCACCCATTGGTCCTATTGTAATGAGAACAGTGCTTCATAAAGGAACATCATTTGAGTATAATGAAAGTATCAAAAACTATTTTCCTCTAATCTCACCATCAAGAAAAACAGGTCTGATACTACAGACGGGCAAATGCTGACTATAGTATAGCCCTGGGCTTCTTTGCACAGGCCTATGTTTAGACCTGCATTGAGCCTCAGTGTCTTTACAGAATATTATGGGGTGATTATGAGATTCGGGAGAACTACATTTCTTCATATGTAACTACTTAATGAGCATATTTACTCTGACTTCTGCTCCAAGCCTTATAAATTAGAAAGGGATGCAGTAGTAGCTTCCAGCTGAGAGGCATATTTTCCAAGACCCCAGTTGATGCCTGAAACTGGATAGTACTAACCTTTATATATACTTTTTTTTCCTATGCATACCTGCCTAAAATAAATTTTAATTTATAAATTAGGCACAATAAGAGATTAATAATAGTAACAATAAAATAGACTAACTACAACAATAAAGTACAATAAAAACTGTATGAATGATTTCTCTATCAAAATATTGTTATCACCCTTCCTCTTCTGATAATATGAGATGATACAAGGTAAACGAGATGAAAAAAAAAAAGAGTGAATGACACTGTAGCCTGATGTTGGGCTTTTTTCTCAGAGTGATTTAAACACGACATTGTGATACCATGACAGCAGATCTGATATCAAGATAGCTATTAAATGACTAATACATGAGCAAGTTGTGTATACAGTGTAGATGCACTGGACAAAGGGATGATTCACATCCCAGGCAGGAGGGTGTGGAATGATGTGAGATTTTATTGCATTACTCAGAAAACTGCTTGCAACTTAAAACTTATGAATATTTATTTCTGGAATTTTCCAATTAACATTTTCAAACCATGACTAATTGAGAGTATCTGAAACTACAGAAAGCAAAACCAGCAATAAGGGAGGACTACTTTGTAATAGTACTGATTTCTTGCATGTTACTCTGATTTCTTTTATTTTTTTATTCCTTAAATTTATTGGTACATTTTAGGTATACAATACGATGACATTCACCATTGGGAATTTGTACCTTTATATGATATATCTTGATTCTTATTATTTTCACCACTCCCTTGCCCTCCATTCAATCCCTTCACCCCTCCCTATTTAAAAAGACATTGTTTCCATTTTTCCTTTCTCATATTTATTCCTTTCCTTTCTTTCCCCACCCCTACCCCTTCCACTTTCCCTTTGGACCTCCTTTTCTTCCTATTTCACGTTATCTATTATACCTTTTAGTCCTTATTTACACTTTCAATTTCTCACACCAGAGAAACTATTTGATATTTACATGTGTGTCTTATTTATTTCACTTAAGAGTATGACCTCAATGTGTTTTCCTAATATGAATATTCACCACTATGAATTTTCCTGGTAAGATTGTTTTCATAGTATCCCATATATTCCAATATGTTGTAATGGGATTGTCATTTAATTGCAGAAACTATCTGATTTCTTCTGTAATTTCCTCTGTGATTCACTGGTTGCTCAGTAGCATGTTATTCAATTTCCATGTATTTATGAAATTCTTGTGGTTTCTTTCCTATTCTTCTCCAGTTTCATTGCAGGATGATCTGATAATATTCAGGGAATAACTTCATTTCCTTTACATTTATTCAAATGCCCTCAATGAGCAAGTATGTGTTCTATTTTGGAGAATGACCCATGTGAAGCTGGAATGAATGTGTATTCTGATTTTGTTGGGTGGAACACTAAACATCTGTTAAGTCCATGTGTTGAAGAATTTGGTTGAGTTCTAGTATTTGTTGTTTATTTTTTATCTAGTTGATCTATCTATTTGTGACAGTGGAGTATTGAGGTCCGCCACTACTGTTGTATTAGTGCTTATATGAATGTTCATGTCTATTAATATTTGTTTTATATAGTTGAGTGCACCGTTATTTGGTGCATATGTATTTATGATCGTCATCTCTTCTTGAATTGTTCCCTTTACCAGGATGTAAAGGCCTTCTTTGTCTCTCTTAATTAGTGTTGGTTTGAAATCCATTTTATCTACTCTTGTTGCTGAGTAGCTACTCCTGCATTTTTTTCAGCTTTAATTGAGTTTATTGAGACATTTTAGGGATACAGTACAGTTACATTCATTGTTGGGATCTTGTACCTCTACATGACAAGTCTTTTCTCATTTTTTTCTTTTCCCTTATTACCCTTCCCCTACCCATCCCACATTTCCCTACACCTTTAGCTCCTTTCTTCCCATTTCTAAATGTCAGTAATCTTACTAGGATCTTATGTATTATTGCAATTATTGAAGATATACTCCTAAGTGAAATAAATAAGTCACACATGTGTAAATGCCGAATAGTTTCCCTGGTGTGAATAATTTGCCATAATACTCCTGCATTTTTACAGGTTCCTATCACATGGAGGGTGGTTCTCTACCCTTTAAGTGTCATTCTATGAGTTTATTTTTTATTTAAGTGTATTTCCTGTATGCAGCATATTGTTGTATTGCTTCTAGACCCATTCTGTCAGTCTTTCTCTTTTGATTGGTAAATTGAGACCATTGACATTGATGGTTATGACTGATATGTATTGACTTTTCCTTGTCATGACCTTTTCCTGTTGTTGGATTCTCCCTTTGCATTTAATATCTGGTCTTGCCCGATGGATTCATTCTGTTGGGTTTTATGGAGTTTTGACCCTCATTGTCTTTGTCTAGGATATTGTTTAAAAATGTTTGCAGTGCTGGTTTGGTATTCATGAAGTTCCTCCAGTATTCTCTGTCATGAAAGTTTCTTATTTCTCCATCAATTTTGAAAGATAGTTTTGCAAGGTCCATCAGTCTGGGTTGGAGGTTGTTTTCTTTCAGCGCTTGAAATAACTGTACTCTATGCTCTTCTTGCCTTGAGGGTTTGTGTTGAGAAGTCTGCTGTGATTCTGGTGAGCTTTTCTTTCTTGTGATTTGTTTCTTTTCTCTAACAGCTTGTAAAATTGTATTTTTTCTGTTGGGTTC